TTAGTACTCCTGGGCTTGTAATTTGCCTCTACCATTGTTGTTTCAGGTAGGTTTAAGATATTAATTTTATTGTCTTTGCCAAAAGGGTTACTCTCACAGATTTGCAACAGCCAGAGAGGAAATAGCAGCAACATAATCTTTGTTATTCTTCTGTGCTAAATCCATTGCTTAAGGTTGATTGTAGGCTGTTTGTAAATCCAATGTTTTATTTTCCAGCAATCTTTGATATTACTGGAGAAGTAATTCCACTGATAAAAGTGTATTGCATAGCTTTGACCCCCCACATTGTTTGGCTGTATGGTCACAATCCTGTCTTAGTTTTTCAAGTCCCCTGAAGAAGTCATCCAGATTTTTGTTAGGTTTCTGTATTTTTTGTAGCAAGTAAATGTCTTGCAAAAATCTCGTTTGGGGTTTTAATAAAAATGGCATCCAATTTAGCTAGTGTGTTGTTGTAGCCTGAACAGCTTTCAATAAATTTGAATGCTATAGAACTGACAAAGCTTATCAGGGCTCTAATCTCGTTAGGAATTTTTTCCTTTTAATCCTTGATGCTATTCTTTTGCTGCAATGTATGAGCTAGGATTCATGTCAAGGCTTTTAGGTCACCATCCTATATTTGAATTAGATTCAGCCATTAGACTAATAGTTGAGTGAGTTGTCATAAGTCTTGGTAATTGAAGAGAGACTTGAAGTGAATCTGTGGGGAAAATTGTGAAAATGGCCTACCTCGGAAATGCCTGCGAATCTGTGCGATGTGCAAACTCCGGTTTGCTCAACGGTAAAAGGAACCAAAATGGCGGTGCCCATGTTTTATGCCAGGCGGTCTCTGACAGTTAACGTGAAATCTCGTTGTCTCGTCATTTGCATGCAAATCGTGGTCGGTCCTCGGCTGTATAAAGCAGGTGCGTTTTTGTTTCTGATCTGTGGGCTTTTTGCTCATGAGAAGGTTGGACGTGTGACATGCGGTTTTTTGTTCCTATCTGGTATTATCAGTTGAATCGTTGTGTTACCACCACAAGCTATTTCGGCAATGGACAAGTTCGATCTAAAATTGATCCCAGAATTCGACGGCTCCCCCACGGGCACGACTGTCGTCGAATGGTTTGAGAAGGCTGAACGTGTTTGCAGGGTGTCCAAAATAAAAGAACCTACACTGGTCATCCCACTGAGACTCACGAGGGGAGCCTACGCCATATATCAACAACTCGGAGACGATGCTGACCTAGTAGAGTGCGGGAACTGAATCCCATTGGAGGAGACTGGTGCATGAGTGGTGACAAGATCACAGTCTGGGTGGATGCGAGTTCCGTTCCGTGCAGCCAACATGCATCTTCGATGACATTTCCGTTCGCTTCCAATGCCACATTGGAAGCGAACGGAAATGTCATCGAAGATGCATGTTGGCTGCGTCCAACTAATGATGCCAGGCACATTAATTTAGCTGAACTCGATGCGAAACTTAAAGGAGTGAATCTAGCCCTCCAGTGGGAGGCAACAACATTGCACTTGGTTACTGATTTGGCATGTGTGCACCGGTGGATTTCCGACACCTTGACCGGGAATGCATGGGTGAACACAAGGGCGGCTGGCGAGATGCTGGTTAGGCGACGGCTGGGCATTATGCGATCGCTGGCGGAAGAATATGGATTGACCATAGATGTGACACTCATACAGTCCTGTCAGAACTGTGCGGATCGCCTCACCAGAGTACCGCACAGGTGGCTAGAACTGCTCAAGAGAGGAGAACCAGTGCTCAAGAGCTGTGCAGTGGTAGGGAGATGACTGGACGAGGACCAGGTGACCAATACCCATTGTCAAAGCGGACATCCGGGCGTGAAACAAACTCTGTACTTTGCCAGGTTAGTCGACCTGCAGGTGTCCAGAGAAAGCGTTAAATTCGTTGTGAAGGCCTGCACAACCTGTCAGTTGATTGATCTGGCACCCATTCACTGGGAAAGAGGAGAACTGAGCGTGAAGAGCAACTGGAGCAGACTAGCGATGAACATAACTCAAAACAATGGTGAGAATTTTTTAATGCTTATTGATTGCAGTCACTCTAGGTTTGCGGTATGGCGGCCACTGCGCAGACAAGATGCGAGCACTGTCATTCGACTGTTGGAGAATGTTTTCCTGGAGCGAGGCCCACCCATGGAAATACTGACGGACAACGATACTGCATTCACCAGTAAAGACTTTAAAAAATTTGCGGACAGTTGGGACGTGCATCTGCGGTTTCGATGTGCCTACTCACCAAGTGGAAACGGCATCATGGAGCGAAACCACAGAACCGTCAAGACCATCGCAGCCAGGAAGGGCTGTACAGTATCGGAGGCGGTTTACTGGTATAATGTCGCCCCGAAAGATAATGTTTCACTGTCCACGGCGCCGACTGATGCACTGCACAAATATCATGTCCGAGTGAAAGGCATCGAAGCCAACCCACTGCCTGAACTAGAAGTGACTGGAGGGAGATTGAAAAAAGATGTTGTTTGGGTCAAAACCCCACGCGGCAAGTGTACGACAAAATACGGCACTGGACATGTTACGGAGGTGATTAGCCCGCAATCTGTGAGAGTTGATGGGGTGCCTCGTCACATTAAAGACTTGCGACTGTTACTGAGCGATGAAAGCGATTCCGAGTCTGAGAGTAGTGAGCGTTCGATCTGCTTGGAATTAGACCTGCAGGGCAGTGATTCTGATAACAGCAGCCTCCCAGCGGACACGGTGTTTACTGACACTCAAACCACAGACGAGAACACGCATGAGGATGAAGCTTGTGTTGTCCCCTTCGGAGGGGGACTCGACAGCGACGATCGCCACCTCCTTGCCCTGTTTGTGATCATGAGATCAGGGGGGAGTGTGGGGAAAATTGTGAAAATGGCCTACCTCGGAAACATCTGCGAATCTGTGCGATGTGCAAACTCAGGTTTGCTCAATGGTAAAAGGAACCAAAATGGCAGCGCCCATGTTTTATGCTAGGCGGTCTCTGACAGTTAACGCGAAATCTCGTTGTCTTGTCATTCACATGCAAATTGTAGTCGGTCCTCGACTGTATAAAGCAGGTGCACTTTTGTTTCTGATCTGTGGGCTTTTTGCTTGTGAGAAGGTCGGACGTGTGATACTGGTTACCCTCCTCGCGGTTTTTTGTTCCTATCTGCTATTATCACTTGAATCATTGTGTTACCACCACAGAATCCTAGCCTCACTCAACTACAAGTACAAACTCTAGAATCACTGACCAAGTGACTATAGGAATGATGGAAGAACACCAACTCACATGATATTTAAATAGTTTGCGACAACATCATTTTCTCATATTTTTAGACATTAAATTATATTACTTGGCATCCACTATAATTTACCATGATATTTCAGTTAACCTGATGAATATTTATGAGCTTTTCTTAATTTAAAAATTTTGAAAATTAACATTTTTACTTTCATTTATAAGTACTTGTTGCAAAGTAAAATCCTCATATGAAAGTCTCTTTTGTGTTCATATAATCTTTTATTTAAATTCCTCAAGGTTTCTCTTATGTATTCCTTATGACAATCATTAGAGGTGATAGAGTAAATTCCTCCTTTTAATTTTAGTTTATTATTATTTTCTTTTGCATTAATTCTCTTATTGTTTTAGAAGCAGTTGTAACAAATTTTATGTTAAGCTTAGAAAAATTTTCAATTGTAGTTGTGATAGAGTTGGTAGGTGGAGTAATGTTTTGTTGATTTTCTTGATTTGTTCATGTTTTTATTCTGAAATATTTGCATTTTCTGTTTCATATTGAATATGAAGTAATTAGGGTATTTAGAGGATCTTAAAAGTATTTTCAATGTATTTCTTCTCATCATATAAATATTGAGGATTAAACTGTTGTTAAATAGAACCTAATAATTACTCTGGATTTTAAATAAAATCCAGAATAATTATATATTGTGATGAGAATAGAAATTTGAGATAATTTTTATTACTTGATTTGCAATAGACATTTAGTACTAAGTCATTATTAGTATGGTTTAACATGATATTGAGGAATGGTAATGTGTTGTTTGATTCTGTTTCATAAGTAAATTGTATTGTACAAATTGTATTTATAATAATAAAATTGTATTTATAATAATAAAATTAATAAAAACAAAAGCATAAGGAAACTACATGCCCAGACACATTTGCGAGGAAAAAAAGATTTAAATTTAAAAGTGTAAACTTTCTGTGTTTCTGTCAATGCATAATGATAACTGATTTTATTTATGTTTTTATATCTCTCCTTCTTTCTACTCATTACTTTAGTTCAATTAAGACCTTCTAGAGGACAAAACATGTTACACAGAATTTTTTACACTTTGCTATTCTTTTATATAGATATGTACTTGTATATTAATATTGAGTAAAATATAGCATTTTGCTTCGTTTAATGAATAAAAAACTTTTTAGACAATGCAGTTTTTCTCAAAAAATGCTTTTTTGCTCTCACTTTTCTATGGCATTGTAGTAGGGAAATAGAATTTAGCAACTTATTGCTATAATTACATTGTACTTCATTTCATAACAATTTGGTGTTTAGTAAAAGAGGTTTTAAAATAACAAGTATAGAAAAGGCTTAGAATTTTCAACTTGTTGTCTTCAGACCAAAATATATTTCTCAAATTCTTATTACACTATTATTGCATATTGGTAAATGTGTCAGAGAGAAATGGTGTAGACTTTTTTTGTTACAAAGATAATGTTAAACCTTAATTACACAGCAGTGATAGGATGAAGTGCCAAGAAAATGAAAATAAGCATCCTTAACTAATTTTGTGCTGGTAACCATTTTGTCTCATTACATCTCAATCATATAATGTAGATAAAATAAAAACATGCACACATATAAAGATTAGTTTGTGTATAAAAAAAAAAGGAGTGATTATATTAGTATTCACTATGCTTCACAGTATAAAATTTTCATTACTTGGCAAGACTTGTTATTTTTCTAATATTTGCCTTTATTGATTTATCACAGGTATTATCAAGAATGGGGGTATGGCCCCAAATATTATTCCAGAATTTACAGAAATGGAATACTTCATTCGGGCTCCAACCAAGGGTGAACTTGACATTATTGTGGATAAAGTAATTGCATGTGCTAATGGGGCAGCAACTGCCACAGGATGTACAGTAAGAAAAAAACGTTTTTTTTTTATATATATATATATATATATATATATATATATATATATATATATATATATATACATACCATGCTGTAAATAATTCTAATAGAAAACTTTTGTCGGCATTAAGGATGTTTTGGGACTTAGAGAAGACATAGAAAATCTAGTGAAAAGTAGAGCAAAATCTCTCCAGTTTTCCACTTATTTTCAAAATAGTATCTTGATCATGGTTGTGGCAAGTTGTTTAAGTCAAATCTGTTGCTTCCAGATGGTCACCTCTATAATCAAACCCCTATTTCAACTAACTGTTTTGGGGCTGCTTCAGCATCTCACTCTACCAGTCAGTCTTTGCCACTCAGAGTATGTTTAAGTTTTTGATCTGAGGAAGTTGGTTGAAATGCCCTAAGGATTTACAAGAAAAGTTAAAAATGCACTGATTTTCAGAATAAACAACTGACTCTTGCTTGTAGAAACAGTAACAGATTGTATTTATTGTGGATTACAGTGATCAGTTTAACCCTTCCCAATTCCAATGTTATGATTTGCCCAATTATGGTTGGTTTGTGATTTATGATTTGTGATGGTTGGTTTGTCAGCCTTATTGACAATATATTACAATGGAAATACTCTGGACTTGTGACTGTGCATTAGTTCAACATTTCAATCAGGGAACTTGGGTCACATGCCTGCAGATAATTGGTTTTCAAAACCTGATTTCCAACTCTTCCACTCAATCATCAGTCTGCAAATGTAAACTTTTTAGGTTAGAGAAAATTTCTTCAGTTATTAATTAAAACCCAGACAATTTCAGGTGTTAGATTTATTGTAATTAATTAAAATAAATTTTAAATGCAATGTCAATCATTATCTTCTGTCTTCTTAATTCTTGTTCTTTTATTGTTCTTTCTCCTTAATGTTTTTTCTCCCACTCAGTAACCCCTTTATTAGTTGCTTCATTGTTTTGCTTGGGATGAAATGATTAAAAAGAAATGTTATTTTTTCTTTTCTTTTTTTGTTCATTTCTCCAGCAGTTCATAAAATCAGAACCTGGCATACTTTTGGTATGTTAGTAAAATACAAATTAATTCACTTGTCTATCTAAGTTTTTTGCAACAACTTCTGAAGTTAATTTCCATTCAAACTATCACCAAGTAAAATTCACTCTCTCGTAAAATCCACACCAGTTACATTCCTCTCTCAACCACTTGTATTTTACTCCATGTAGTAAATTACAACAACAGGAACTTTCATTCCAACTGGCCACCAATTTACCACTTTACTAGTAAAATCAATACTAGTAACTCTGTTATGATCTCTAAAAGATTTTTAAAATTGTTTTTCAGCCCATAAGAAATTTATAAAGGTTTCATTTCATTTTGTCTCTTAAACATTTTTATTATAAAGTAGGAAATATTAAAATTTGGTTAGTATTAATCTTATTATTTTGATCCTAGTAGTAAATCACTGGAAATAATCAGGTAAAAATATTGTCACTATGAAACAGATTCATGTTTAATTACTATTATGTTGTTATAAATAAATAGCTAATAATTTTTTTCATCAGAAATAACTGGGTATAAAAAATATGCTTTCTTTTGTTGTAGCTTTGATCAAAAGAAATTATATAAATTTTATTTACTCTTAACGAAAATATAAGCATGTTTACATTCAAATAAGTATACAAAACAATTTTCTTTCCAAAAAGTGCCTACTAAAAGAAATTTATTCAGTTTAAGCTTTTTGTTCTATGTGCCATGTCCCTTCAAGATGTTGGTGATCATGGCTCTGCACAATTTGTTGTCCTTTGTTGCTCTTAGTGAATTTTATCTTTTAGCTATCTTAAACTCTGTTCTGCCATCCATTCACACATGCTTGTTAGGTAGGTTATACGCTGTTGTCTTCATTATGTCCTATGAGTGTCAGATTTTCCAAGCCTTCTTTCCTCATTGTGTTTCATAGAAATTTCTGGTATTAAGTATAAGTGTCCTTTTTATTTCTATTTTCTCTAAAATTTTGTCATTGCTCACATGTTCAGTCCAGCATTCTGTAGAACCACATTTCTGTTGTTTCAAGTCTTTCTGTGATGCAGTTGTCCAGCATTCTTTTGCATATAGGAGGACTGATATTACATAACAGTTAAGCACACTTTTCTTTGTTTATAATGGCATTTTCATGTTTCTTAATACTTCACTAGTCACCAGCTCTGCTAGTTTTGTTGAGTAATACAACCCTTATGGGTCATTCAGCTTTCATTTCCCTCCTAGGTTGGGGCTGGTGTATCATCTAGTTAGGGTTGATTTGGGTTGCCCAAAATGCTACAATATTGTGATTGATGGTGAATTCTAGTGCGACACCACTATATACATTGTGCACCACAGACAAGACTACATCATTTCTGATTTGGATGTGGTAAACTTGTCTTTTTACATCCAAGTACAACTTCTGAATCAGCTGGAATAAGAACTCCTTCAATAAAATACATATCACTGTTGATAACCATAGCAACAGGTTTATTGAATATATAAAAAAAATTGGTTGAATAAAATGTCTCTATTATCTACTGTTAAAATCAAGTTTTCTATTGCACAAATGATGATTTGGAAATTCTCATCACAAATGCTAAAGTAATGATGACTCTCCCTCGATTCTTTTGTCATACATTCTTCCACATGCATTTTTCTGTATGGCCCAGGAATTGCAGGTGTGTTCTTAGGGACAACTGTCTTATGAGCAATCCTGACTGCTTCGAGCTGACTTCTTGTTGAGCCAATTTTTTGTCTCTAAATCACTTTCTTCTTGGCCAGCTGGCTGGCTGAATGTCCAATCTGTCTGATCGATGAGATGATTGCTTTGATTCAAACCTTGTCTTATCCCACATTGTGCTTAGTTTTGATCATAAGGTTGGCAAAGATTGAATCGTCATCGGGAATCATTGTATTGGGTTGGTCCAGGCAGAGTGAAGACATGAGAAAAAAAAATAATTTGAGTAAAAGAAAATGTCTTTATATCTAAGAACTTTGTACAGGAGTTGGTGAAGTCTTCATATTAAAAATTATTAGTTCTTCATGCAGTAAAATATTGACCCTTCCCACTTTGTAAGTTAAATGCAACACTTCGGTTGGTTTAAGTCTGGACAAGGCTTCTGGCACAAGGCTTATGTTGGAGGTTTCTTTCAGGCTGAAAGTCATGTGAGGTCGTCTGTTGTCTGGAACAACTGTCTTGGCTGTTTCAATTTCTTGCATTTATTGGCATTCACTGAAAACCAGCGCGGGGCATGACGCATTTAGGGGATTTGGTTTTCCCCTATCTTCCAACAAAAGCCCTTTTGTTGTCTGACTCTGGAAAATTAATTACATCTCCAAAATTGGGGAGATCCTCTTCTGCTATGGGCAGTAATCACAGGTATCGATCCACCCCGATAACTTCCTCTTTCTCTTATTGGTATCTCACACCAATACTTCCTAATTGGCATGGGCAGTTGTTCCACCTTCCTTGGTATTTCACCTGCATCTGCCACCTTGGCTACCCTTCAACCAATCTAGCTCCTGACTGTTTGGCATGGCTTAACTTATGGTCATAAATTAAAAATTATCCTTTCAAATTTCATTTATGCAAAATTTTCTCATCCTGGACTTGTCTAAATTCAGTTATTTACTAGATGTTTTCCTCTCAGACAGTTACCCTCATAAGCCCTGCCGGGGTTGTTGCACTCCAAATACCTTAGGTTACGCAAAGAGACTTTATATTGTGCTTTTGTAACCAGCCTGTGGACAGCCTCATTAAACTGTCAGCCTTAAAGCTCGCCACGGGGCTTCTTTGTGACAATATCACTTTTCTTCAGTAAACATCTTGTGTCAGAAAATTAGCTTCCCTTTTGAAAGAATTTGAAATCTTCATTCTTTCTCTCAGTCTGTCCATCAATCTATTCATTAACCCTTTTCATCTCATTCTGGCCTATGTTTTTGGATTTAACCCCTTTCTTTCCATGCTAGTTCCAAATAGTGTCACATCTCTCCCTTACCCTTACTGTCATTTCATTGTATATGACACACAATTCCCAAATCTATTAACACTATTTATAATGCATTGTTTTTCTTCTAGTAATTCATAAAGTAGAAAATAAAATAGTTTTTCTCTTTTTTCTGTTATTTCATGCAATGTCTTTAATAAGCCTTTCTTTTTTTTTCATGTGTTTCCATGCAATGTCCCTCTCTCTTTTTTTTTTGTTTTATGGTTTGTGAAAAATCTCTCCTTTTCTTCTGTTATTAGATTCTCCCCCACACACTCTGGACCAAACTCCATCAGATATTCTGATAGGTTGTGGCAACACTGTGTTTGTCAATACCTCTACTTGGCAATTTTTTTAATCCCCCCTCTCTATCACCTTTAAACAGTTGAAGTGCACACAACCTGTGATTACCCATCACATATATAGGACTTAGTGAGGTACACATTCCCAAAGCATTAACCCTACACTTCCTCGTTTCCTCTGTTGTCAGCATCATAAATTTTGTCCTAGCTGAATTCAATTTGGTATCTCGCAACTGCCAGGGTGGGAAATGGGTAGATTTATAATTTAATATATTTAAAAAATACTTTCTCTGTTCAACAGTAGAAAGGACATCAAGCCCAATAGCTTCTTATCTTCTAACAACTTAGCACATTGTAGTATTTCTATAATTCTTTGGTGGGGTTCACTGGTAACCTAAAATCATGGAGAAACTCAGCCTGTATCTTCAATAATAATTTTTTCAAGTGACCAGGGGTCTCTACATATAGGGATAGATGGTCCTAATGACAACATATCCAGTTGAGCTCTCACATGTTCTAACAAAATAGTTAGGGACTGACTAGTCTGTTGCACCTTATTAGTTATGGTCATTAATTGCAAATGCTGCTGTATTTAAATTTAAATTTTATAATTCAGTTGTCACAGCCTCTGAATTATTAGCTACTTCTTAGCTCTCATAGGTTATTTATTAACCAATTGATACTTGCTCTATT